AATAAAAATGATTACATTAAGAATTGGGGATTATAAAATAAAAATAAGCTTGAGGTCACAATACAAAAATTAATTAGAATTAAGAAAAAATTAGACAAATATAAACAAGTCATTAATCAAAAAAAAAACCTAAGAAAAAGTTTAAAAGATTACAAAAATGAAAAGAAAAAAAAAAGTGAGTCGCAAACACCACTTCCTTTTGGAAATCACCGGAAATCAGCGAAGCGTCTTACAATCATGGTCTTTCGTAAAATATGTTCCAAAAACCTGTATCGCTTGGTGCCCACTGGTGCTGATAGATCGGAAGACGAGAAAGATCGCTATTTGCGAGGAGCGGATGTGGAAGCCTTAGGCCTTCCTTTATGTTTTTGGGTCTTATCTTTAACACTATTGTCAACCATAATTTCATCCCAAGTTTCTTGCATTGCGCTAAGTATTGGAAAAGTAGGTTGACCTGACGATGACGGCACAACAATACGCATATTCCTACAAGTCACGTAAGCCCAAGGAAATCTTTTCGGAAAGCTCGTAACAGCGATCGCACTTGGATTTAGATGCTCCTCTGCACATCGAACACCACAAGCGTTTTTCCTAAACTTATCTTTAGCAGTTCTCCTACGACCAAATACATGTTGTTTAAGATATTTCAGAGACTCGTCCCTTGTTCCACAATAAACACACTCAAACAAAATAGGATGAGAATCCAAGTATTCTTGCGCCTCCTTTTCCTGCTCAATCAAAGTTAAACCTTCCCGGTTGGCTGCCGATTCTTTAATCCAGTTATTCTGCTCATCCAATGTCATCTCTTGCTTATCCGCCAAATCCTCACAATTTGTAAATCTATTCTCAAACGCGGCTGTTCGACCATAGTCAATCCCCCTCCTTATTCTTCCATCTGGAAAACGGACATAATTCGGTGTATCCACAGGACAACTCTGCATTAGACTATTGGCTACCTCTACTCGTTGTTGCACCGGTACAGTTTTTGAATTTCTTTTTCGTTTTTTGCCCTTTCGCCTTTTCCCTGATACAATTGGTAGAGTCGATTCCTCATTATTCTCATTAGAAGTATCACTTTGAGTTTCATCGCTGTGACTACTACCACTATCGCTTCCACCATTATCATTACCATCACCATGATTATTGTTATCACCGTCATCACCATTACCACCATTATTTCCGTTATTACAATCATTTCTACTGCCACCACGGCTAGTTCCAAATTCTTCTTCAGAAACCCCTTCGTAATCGGAATTTACAAGGAACCCTGAAGCTCCACCTTGTTTTTGCCTTGGAGAAGGTCCCACTCCTGGTGCTTCAGCCGAACCATAATTGTTGTCAGAATCAGAATCACTCGATAGATCAGCCATTGTGACATCTGCTTTACCAGACGTTTTCATTCTGGCACATGCCTGTTTTTGAACTCTTTTGCTTCGCCGAATCCAGTTATCTTGGCTGGTTCCTGCTCCATGTGCCGTCTTTCCACCTTCTATACCTGACAATGAAAACATAAAAAAAAGAGAAAATTCAAAATTTACGCTCATTTCAAAATGATATATGTTCAAAATGATAGGTGGCGGCATGGGTTCCATCAAAAGATACTTTTAGCAAAAATTTTCTGTATAGATTTTCACAAAAAATAACCTAAGTTTTTAGGGAGCTGATGAGGGAGCTATGGAGAACAAATGCACTAATTAACACAAAATGAAAAACATTTACCTGAGGCGAAGGCTAAAGCCAGTATTGAAAGGTAGACCATCATTTTGATCCTCATTTTGCAGTGATATTAAATATGCAAAAATCAAATTAAAAATATCGCTCAAAAAACAAACAAATAATGAAAATAATCACAAAAAAAAGAAAACAGTTTACTTGGATTGTTTTGATTTACCATGTTTCCCACGAGCTCCATCTACTTTACGTTAATATCATCATCCCGGTAATTTCAAACATACCAAATTTAGAAATCATTTCCGATTACTCCATATTAGGATCTATTCCCTTAATATAATTATAAATCATCGCAAGAGTCTTTTCCGTCTCCTTCAAACTATTCTCTGTATAAAACAACCAATTCTCAGTTAAAATCTTCCACAACCCGAACCTACAATCCAGTTAACATCAATAAGTCAACTTTCAACAAGTCAACATCAATTCTACATCAAATCATATTCATTAGTGATCATCTCCATCATTAACTCAGTTTTCGTTCATCCCTAAGACCCGAGCAATTCACCATGAGTCTCAGTAAAATATTAACTGTTAATGTTAGAGTTCCAACCTTCAATGGATTCGAACCACCGATAGAAAATTGGATAAGTGACTACGAACAAATCACAAGTATCATTGGTTGGTCCGATAAAGCTCGACTCGTTGGATTTCCCGATTTTTTAACTGGAGTTGCCCAACTTCTGTTCAAAGAAGAATATTCTTACGAATATAATTTCCCACAAAGTTGGTCAGAAGCTAAAGAAAGATTGATCAAAGATTTTACCCCCATAACCAACAACAGCGAAAATAGTAGTGAACTTCTGGACAAACCCAAGTCACCTTTCTCGGTCTCACCTGATGAAATTTGCCATAATATTATAAAGGCACAACGAGAAAAAGGTGCGTCTGGATCTGCTACTATTGAAGTGATTTTGGACATAGCAAGTACACTGGTTGAGACCGCTAGACATCTCAATACTCCTATCCAACCGAAGGACGAACCAAGCAAAGAACGTAAGATTATTTGTTACTTTTGCAAAGAACCTGGTCATATCCGACAGAACTGTCGACAACTTAAATATGAACGTACATTGGCTATCCTCAGTCCAACATGCGAAAGCTCATCTTCATCATTGAATTGGCGTTCAACTTCCTCTAAGACTAAAGGACCCAAGAAATCAACGACTTTGCAACAGTGAAAACTGAAACAAGGGACTGTTTCAACTTCTAGTCGGGGGAAATGTAACGTAAATTTCGATCTCATTATTCATCACTGGTTACAAACCCGTACAAGGATAAATCCGTTCATTACCAATAACCAATTAACCCTTATTTAGGATTACTTCCTTCCATAACCAATGATTACAATTACTTTATTTGGATCATAATCCTCAATTACTAATTAACCTAAATCTTTATTACTAACCCACAAAGATGAATAACATACACGTGACACTCGTGAGTCTCGATGATCTTGTATAAAACCAGATTACCTACTAATAGAATGTTCACTTCTTTAGAATCAACATAACATTCAAGTTAAAACATTCTAATAGATTTCATCTTGTCATCATCTTTTAATCAAGTTAACCCATTCCAATAATCTGTGTAATTCATTACAATCATTTAATCAACAATTGGATAATAAAGTTCATTTATATTAGTTAAAGCTCTTCTAATAACGTTTTCACTTTATTTAATTCGTTCATCACTCATTTCGTAACTTTTCACGTTACACTATGATGAGGTATTGTCGGGTACTAGCGTAATCAAAATATCAAATAATCAAATAATCATCAATTGATTGAAAGTTTGCAAATTTTGATGATGCTGGTTGCTGTTGGTTGTAAATAACATTTCGTTTAATTGTTGATCATTAATATACAACAACAATAATTTTAGTTTATCAATTTTATTATTGCTAATGGCAATTAAAAAAAGAGAGACAATAGAATTTTTCAATTTCGGACAAGAAAGTTTATTTCTTAAAACTCAGAATCAAGAAAGATTACAATATTAGACCTGGTTTTTCTTACGACCCCTGCTCGATTCACCTCGTCAATCCACCATAACTTTATCTCACGCCGTTTGTAAATCTTCAGGAAGGTCAAAATCATGCCCTGTAACCTCGCCAGTTGCTGGATCAATGATCTCAGTATATAAATCTGGATTGGTACAAACCACTGCCCCCCGTGGGAAAAGGGTTGGTTTGGCGCTTGGAGGGACTCTTGATGTTGCTTCGAGTTTGTCAACAATGACTCGTTCCTAGCAAGTTATTTTTACATAGCGTTGATTTTTATCCCTTTTTCGGCCGATTACGTGGTAAATCAATTGTGTGAGTTTCGGCCAAGAAATGCCACAATATGCACACTCGTATAAAAAACAATGCTCCTCTTTTATTAATAGCGGCATCTTTCTCGTGGACCTCAATTAACTTATCTTCCCCCTCCAGCTAGTCTAACTAATTAATCCCAAGGCAACATTTAGCACCTTCAAGGTCTTTTGGATTAATAATCCGATCACCAGGAATGATGGAATGTTCCCAAATCGCCAAATAAAAAATTTTACCATCACGCAACGCACAATAAGGCAATGATTTTACTGAAAATTCTTCCATGTCAGCAGCGACCCTAACCGATTGAGTTCCTTCACCATCATGATTCAGCGAATCACAATCCTGCTCCATTGAGCCCGGTTGCTCATCTCGATCAATAGAATTTCCTCTGAAAGAGGAAGCTGCCTCGTTAGCCACATTCCCAATCACTTGAAAAGTGCACAAATCCCTCGTTTGGCCGTTAACACTTGAGTCGTCACTCATCTTTGCCCTTCAAAATTACCTCGTTGACACTTTTTTTAAGAAAACAAAAAAATATATACTAATATTGAAATGTAAGAAACAAAACAGACAAAAAAACAATAACAAAATGATTATAGAGCAATACTGGTAGTTGTGCTAAACATGAATCACTTCAATACTCTATTTACGTCACGACATCTGTTGTCATTGCTATTATAACTCACAAGCTATTTCCGCCAAATTTGAACACCAAAAATGGAATTTTATATACAAAAAACCATATAAGTAGCTTCCGTTCAAAATATCAAAAAACAATCCATTTTCCATATAAAAACAGTTGCTCATCAATGACTCAACCTGAATTTACAATCCAGTTAACATCAATCAGTTCAACTTTAAATAATTTAACAACAATTCTACATCAAATCATATTCATTAGTGATCAAACTCCATTTAATTCTATATACTTAATAATTAATCAATATTAATATAATTAATCTCCACATTAACTCAGTTATCGTTCACCCCTAAGACCAAAAAAATTCACCATGAGTCTCAGTAAAATATTAACAGTGAATGTTAGAGTTCCAACCTTCAATGGATTCGAACCACCGATAGAAAATTGGATAAGTGACTACGAACAATTCATAAATATCATTGGCTGGTCCGATGTAGATCGTCTCGTCGGTTTTCCCGATTTTTTGACTGGAGTCGCTCAACTTTTGTTCAAAAAAGAGTATTCTTACGAATACAACTTTCCACAAAGTTGGTCAGAAGCTAAAGAAAGATTGACCAAAGACTTCACCCCAATAACCAACAACAACGATCAAAATAGTGAACTTCTGGATAAATCCAAGTCTCCTTTCTTGGTTTCACCCGATGAAGTTTGCCATAACATTGTAAAAGCACAACGAGAAAAAAGTGCGTCTGGATCTGCTACTATTGAAGTGATTTTGGATATAGCAAGTACACTTATTGAGACCGCTAGACATCTCAATACTCCTATCCAACCAAAGGACGAACCAAGCAAAGAACGTAAGATTATTTGTTACTTTTGCAAAGAACCTGGTCATATCCGACAGAACTGTCGACAACTTAAATATGAACGTACATTGGCTATCCTCAGTCCAACATGCGAAAGCTCATCTTCATCATTGAATTGGCGTTCAACTTCCTCTAAGACTAAAGGATCCAAGAAATCAACGACTTTGCAACAGTGAAAACTGAAACAAGGGTCTGTTTCAACTTCTAGTCTGGGGAAATGTAACGTAAATTTCGATCTAATTATTCATCACTAGTTACAAACCCGTACAAGGATAAATCCGTCCATTATCAATAATCAATAACCAATTAACCCCTATTTAGGATTACTTCCTTCCATAATCAATAAATTGTGTTAATCAATATATGGTCTTTACTATATTTGGATCGTAATCATTAATTACTAATCAACCTAAATCTTTATTACTAACCGACAAAGATGAATAAACCTTCGACTCACGAGACACTCGTGACTCTCGATGATCCTGTATAAAACCAGATCACTTACTAATAGAATGTTCACTTCTTTTAGAATCATCACAACATACAAGTTAAAACATTCTAATAGATTTCATCTTGTCATTATCCTTTTAATTAAGTTAACCCATTCCAATAATCTGTGTAATTCATTACAATCATTTAATCAACCATTGGATAATAAAAGTTCAATCGTATTAGTTAAAGTTCTTCTAATTGTGTTCTTACTTCATTTAATTCATTTAGCACTCATTAAGTAACTTTTTACGTTACAGTATGCAATCGAGCTGATCGAATGTTGCAAAGACCAAGAATCCTATGTAGTTAACACAACCAATACTACTACATGTAGTTATTGCTCTGGAATCACAAAGAGATTCAATTGATTTCGATTTTGTTTGCAATCGTGTACTTGAAGAGTATGAGAGACAAAAGTCGAAAAGTAATAATACCGAAGATGAGAATTCAGCTCTCAATGTCTCATTTAAAAATAAATCGAAGAAATTTAAAGGTAAATGTTTCAAATGTGGTAAAATAGTCATATTTCAAAGGATTGTCGTGTTAATATTAATAATATTAATAAATATGAAAAAGAAAAGAAAGACAATGAAGATAAACCTAAAGCTAATAGTGTCCAAAAGGAGTTGAAGCTCTTAGTGCTTATCATATGTCTGTTTCTGATAACGGTTGATTAGTTGATTCTGGAGCAACTAATCATATGTGTAAATATATTAATTTATTCACCAATTTGACTGAAAGTGAAGCTAAATCAGTAACTCTTGTTGATGGTAATCGAGTTAAAATTCACGGTGAAGATGATATTATGATTAAATTGCCCGGAATAGAAAAGAGAATCAAACTAACAGGTTGTCTATTCGTACCTGAATTAAGACATAATTTATTTTCTATTTCGAAAATGGTTGAAAAATGAGCTATTTTCGAAGATGATTCTGTTCGTGGCTTTCGTAATAATAATATTTTTGTTGCTCGAAAAGAAAATGGAGTTTTCAAAATTGATGATCAGCCAGAGAATAATATTGTTACAAATGATGAAGATGAAGAAGTTGTTTGGCATCAACGATTTGGTCATATTGGTCAAACTGGATTGAGAAAACTAATTGATAAAAAGGTGATACCAATTAAAAGGGAAACTGAAATAAACTGTAAAAGTTGTTTATTTGGAAAATAAACTAGAAAATCTTTCCCTGAATCAACAAGTCAATCAAATGAGATTCTTGATTTAGTTCATACTGATGTATGTGGACCAATGCCTACGAAATCAATTGGTGGTAATCAATATTTCATGACTTTTTTTGATGATTTTAGCCACTTCTCGTTTGTTTATTTCTTGAAAAAGAGAGATGAAGTTCAAAAGGTTATTGTTAATTTTGTAACTAATCAAAAGGGTAAAAGTATCAAGGTTATTCTTTCAGACTCAGCTCAAGAAAATAAGAAAAAAAATGTTGTCTCTTTTCTGGAGACTGAATCGTACCCTACTGGACATTACGAGAACATTACTCAACGGAGATAATTTGAGTAATGAGTTCTGGGCTGAAGCAACTCACGCAGCTAATTATTTGTTAAACTTGAGACCGTGTTCAAGTATTGATTTCAAGATTTCTTATGAAATCTGGTCAGGTAATCGAGCTGAGCATCTCAAGGTATTTGGTTGTATTTGTTTCGTTCATTGCATCAAAACGAGTGTTGAGATACCTTAAAGGTACAAATGAATTAGGTATTATTAATAATAATACTGACTCTGGTGATGGCTTAAATTTGATTGGTTACGTTTATTCTGATTGGGGTGGTAATTTAATTGATAGACATTCAATTACTGGTTATTTATTTTATTTGAATGGTAACTTATTATCTTGGTCAACCAGAAAGCAGATAACAGTAGCATTATCATCAACTGAGGTTGAATATATGGCCGAAACTGAAGCTACGAAAGAGGCAATTTGGTTGAAAATTTATTGCTAGAATTGGGTTACAAACTGAAATTACCTATTCAAATAAAATGTGATAATCAGGGAGCGATTAAGTTTGCTAAAAATCCTTTTTATCATTCGAGGACCAAGCACATCGATTTTAAACATCATTTTATTCGTGAGCAGATCAAAAACGGACTCATTGAATTGGTCTATGTACAGACAGATTATAATTTTGCTGATATTATGACAAAACCTTCGGCTGGTCCAAGATTTAATTCGTTAATTAAATCGTTAATTTCTTAAATTTAATTTATCAACAAGAGAGGGTGTTGAAGCAAATGCTTATCGATGTTGATTAATTAAATT